CTTCCCTCAAGGCCTTCCAGGATGCGGGCTCTGGTACCACGTTGGCGCAGCCCTCCCCCCTCCCCCCCCCTCCCCAGCGGCCGTCGCCGCTGTGGGGAAATCTACAATGAGGATGCGTGAGGATGCGCCAAGGCGTCCTCCAGGGTGAGGGGCGTGCAAGGGCCACTTGCTACCCCTGGAGGGTGCAAGGGATTGGGAGGAAGGAGGGGGGCGACGGGGCGACGAAACTAAGGGGACGACGGGGAGGTCTGCGACTAAATCACATAATTAGGCATGAGACGGGGAAAGCTGCAGGGGGCGGTGGCGGCAGTGGCAGGCTGTGGCAGCAAACAGGCTTGCACGTGATGGTGGAGGAGGGCAGAGTGGCGCCTGGCGTGAAGTCGGGCATGTCCCTCTACAGGAAGAATATTCATAAGTAGTTCAACTAATGGAGTCAGGGAACGATTTCCTTTTGTATTTTGAATATTGCGAAGGCCTTACGGCCAGTGTCGCCGACCCTGAGAACGGCGAAGATGAAAACGAGGGGGGGCAGGATGAGGAGGATGAGGATGAGTGGGAGGTGGAGGAAGGGTGGGAGGTGGATGAGGGAGGAGGAGGGGGGAGAAGGATGTGGAGGAGAAGCACGAGGAGGAGAAGGAGGCAGAGGAGAGCAGGAGGAGGGGGAGCAGAGAGGGGGGAGGAGGAGGAGGAGGAGGAGGAGGAGGAGGAGGAGGAAGAAGAGGAGGAGGCCAAAGGCTTTCTTGGGACAGCCTGGGGCTCTCTTGAGGCCGTCTTGGGCCGTCCAGGGCTCCTCTTGCGCCGTCTCGAGGCACTCTTGGAGGCCTCCTGGGCAATTTGGGGCTCTTGGGCTGTCTTGGGGCAATCTTTGGGGCCGTCTTGGAGGCGTCTTGGGCCGTCTTGGGGCCCTCTTCGGGCGTTAGGGGACCCTCTTGGGGGCCTCTCGGGCCGTCTCGGGGCGATATTTGGGGCCTCTTGGGCCGTCTTGGCGCGTCGGGAAGCGGAAGAGGCAAGAACGCCAAAATCTGTTAAAGCGTATTGGGAAATCCATGAAGTTTGCCTCTTGGGGCTCTCGTGGGAAAGATCCTGGAGGCCTCTTGGGGCGCTTTGCAGGCTTCTTGAGCCGTCTGGAGGCCGTCAAGGCGTCTTGGACAGATCGTTCGGCGATTCGGGGTTCTCTTGGACTGTCTTTGGGGCCTCTTGGGGCACTCTTGGCCCGCCTTGGGGCTTTTTTGGGCTCCAGGACTCCTCGGGGGGGCGTCGTATCTGACCCCCCCCCAGGACCCCCCCACGCGGGGAAGGGATCGAAGGGAAGGGGCTTCCCTTCGGCTCAATTACGACGTTGCTCAACTTCGCTTTGGTTGGCGCGCTGAGGAGGTCCTTGGAAAAGAGGGGAGCTTCGACGAGCCCAGGGAAAGGGGGAGGCAGGGAAAGGGGACGACAGAGACGACGACCAACGAATGACGGAGATGACGACTTGAACGGACAAGCCCCTCACACACGCCGACAGTGTCGGCGGATTGGTTGCGCATTTTTCCATATTTTTGAAGTTTTCCTCCAAAATCCGCCTGTAGGGGGACACGCCCGACCTATGCGAGAGGAGGCACACGGATTTGGGTCCAAGCGGTGGCAGGCGCGTCGGTTGGCGAGTGATTGTGGCCAGGTGGCCTGCGGCCGCCCCTGGCAGCGCCCTGCGCCGACGGGGCCTTTCCCCCCCCTCCCCCCCTCCTCCCCCGCACGTGACGTCTTCACTCTGCTGCCAGTCCCCAGCCCACGCCCCTGCGCGGCGGGCGGCGGGGAGCCGCTGCCCGGCCCCGCGTCCCCATGCCACTGGCCGCCGAGTGTTGGAGAAGTGACCAGCTGCCGTGGCGCCGCCCTGCAGCAAATGGGCACGCGGCATGCCATGGCGCTGCGCTGCCGCAGAGTGCGCCCCTTTCCCCCATGCATCCTGCATCGCCCCCTGCGATACTGACGTCGTTGACGTCGTCTCGCCAGGTCACCGTCGGCAGGCTGCTGGCCTTTCGGCGCTTGCAGGCTGGCTTTGCCTTTCGGAGGAGAGCGCCGCTCGGCCTGGGGCGCGGCCGTCTTCGCGCTCGCGCCGCCTCCCGTGAGAGGGGCGATGGGACGATCGGTTGAGACTGCAGCGGTCCGGTTGCAGCTCTCGGCCAGGCTGGAGAGGCTGAGGACGCGACGAGGGGTCGACAGACGGGAACAATGCCAACAAGCGACCAACAGACGGCAAGGCGCAATTCCCTGGATTTGCGTGCGCATTTGTTTGGCGTTTTTGGGCTTCACAGCCATCAAATACAGATCCGTCTTCCCCATGTCTCAACCTCCCCCTCCCATTCCCACCATCCCGCTCCGTGCCACTGTGCGGCAAAGAGGGAAGCTGGTGCGCGGCATGCTCATTCAGATGATGTGTGAGCTTCCACTTCTGGCGTGGTTGGGGAGTGAGATTCGCCCCAGCCCACGCTTGGTGTCCTCGTCAACTGCTGCTTGGCACGCAGCTCCCTGGCTGTGGGCGAAGGTGCCAGCGCAGGGCAGGCACTTGCCCCATCTGTTTGGCACATAGCCCGTCGCGATCGTCGGCATCGCGATAGCTGTTGGCGGCGATGCCGTTGATGTTGTTGGCGACGGTCTGCTTGCTTGTGGGCACGCCGCATTGCTCGAAGGTGGTCACAGCCATCCGCTACCTTGCAGGTTCGGAGAGCTTCGAACAGGCAGAGCGTAGCATGGAGGGCCTTTTCTGTCTATGGTGGTGTGCAAGTTCGCGGCGAGGATGTGGCGGGCCCCAGGCCTGCGCGCGTTGCTGCTGCTGCTCTGAGCCTAGATGATGCAGGACGGGCGTCCACGAATGTAGGAACAGTTAAGGATGGCGATAGTTCGCCTGGTGTCGTCTATGTTACGGTAGCCGACGTACGCGTAGCCGATGGATTAGGTGGCTGTATTGCGGCATAGGGGGATTGATTCCACAGGGCCCCAACGGGTCGAAGATATCATGGAGGGACGTCTCGGTGAATGCTCGGGAAGGTGTCCCACGCAGGTGACGTAGCCGCGCGGGGCCTCCGAACCGTCTACAGCCAGTGAGCTGGGCGGTGTGCGGGTTGAGATGGGTTGAGGCGCGGGTCAACGATCAGGTCCATCGAAGCAGGGGAGGGTGGAGGGGCGCGCCGACCGTCCCGAGGTGGAGGGGCCTCGTCCATTGGACCTGGTCGATTAGCTTTGTTTTCCTCCCTTTATACTTCCTCCTCCACCTCCACCTCCTCTTCTTCTTCATCGTATTAGTATTGCTATTCCTCCTCCTCCTCCTCCTCCTCCTCCTCCCAGCTGCCGCCACCCAGGCGAGGCGCCCGGCAGAGGCCGCGCGCGGCGCGAGCAGCGCGGCGGGGGCTGGGCTCAAGCCCGAGGCGCAGGCTGGGCAGCAGGCCGCGGCTGCCGCGGCGCTGACGGCCGCCCGCGCCGCTGGGCCTGGGCCGCACCTGGGCCAGCTCGGACGCGAGGGCGAGCCCGAGCAGCTGGCGGAGGCAGCGCGGGGCGCTCAGGCCGAAGCCGCGCGCCCGCCAGAGACGGAGCGGACAGCTGACCCGCCGACGGCGACGGAGCGCCGCGCCCAGGCTAGGCGCCTGGCGCAGGCCGAGAGGCTCCGCCCGAAGCCCAGGCCGCCGCCGCCTCCCGCTCGGCAGCGACGCGAGGAGCTGGCTGCGGAGCGGCGCTGGGCGGACCTGGCGGGCCTCGCGCTGCAGGCGAAGGAGCCCAGCGCACGGCTGCGACGGCTCCGAGCGGCCGAGGGCGAGGCGGCCCCCGCGCGCGGCGGGCCGAGGGCCGAGCGAACAGCCGCCGCGGCCGCGCCACGCGGGAGCTGCTGGCCGCCGAAGGACCAGCTGGCGCAGCTGGCGAGGGAGGCCGAGCGCGACGCGACGGAGACCGCGGCGCGGACGGCGCAGGCCGCGCTGCTGCGGGCGGCGGCCGCGCGCCAGGGGGCAGCTGAGGCCGCGAGGGAGGCCGAGCGCGACACGAAGGCGGGGCAGCTGGACGAGGGGGCGGACAAGAAGATGCTCTGAGTTTCGGCCTGTGGCCGTATAATGCTTAGAGCTGTGCCCGGCCTGTGGACCCCTAGCCCGCGGGGCTGCGCGGTGTGCGAAGATAGCTGCGCTTCCCCGGGGGTTGGCGTTCCTGGCCCGCGCCGCCTGCGCGCAGTGCAAGCACTGTTGTGGGCGGCCGACCTGCGCACGCGCGCCCACAGCGCGCTCGCGCAGGCGAGCCACGAAGTGGCGGCCTGAAAGAGCTCGAAAGAGCTCCTCCCAGCTGCCGCTGGGGCTCAAGAGAAGTTTCAGGCAGCGATGGCGCCCCAGACCGCCGCACATCATGACGCAGGACAGACTTGGCGCTGCTGTTGCCGAAGGCGGCCGAAGAGGCAATTGGCCGCATTGGGAGTGGGAGAGGCGCGCAAAGTGTCGCCGAGGGGATGGGATGGTGCTCCATAGTGCCTACTACAATGCGCAGTGCGCGGATCTCAATCGCCTGGGGGATATTGGCATGCAGTGCCACAGCGTGGACATCATCATCGTCGCGAGCGCGCAGAGGCACGCCGACGTGGATCACGACGTCCAGAAGGCTGCGTCACCACATCATCGACTCATACAGTTTGGTTGGGACTTTTTCTAGAGCTGTGGTATCGCTGTCTTGCTGGGCCAGCATGTGCGCACTGTGCAACGAACGCCGTCGACGCCGCGACCACCAGATACTGCGGGTCGAGTTGCCGAAGTCAAGTTGTTTGTGCATGGGCAGTCGGCCTGCGTGTCTCTAGCGCATTTCCCGCCGGAGGGCGCAAGCCACGCCATCTGAAAGGAGGCCAGCGCATGCATTTTGCGATGGATAAGTCAGCAGATTGGCGAAGAAGCTCACAGCTCGCTACAGCGCTACCGACTGTGGCAGGGGCTTCCAATTATGGGTTTGGCATCCGGAGGGGCGCGGTTGGAGCGCGGTGCACGAGAGCGGGCGAGCACGTCGGCATAGCCGAGGCCGCGCGCGAGACCAACGCGGGCCAAAGTGGAGGCGCCATCCGCGATGCGTGCGCGGAGATCCCCCCGCCTGGCCCCGAGCGCACGACGGAGCGCGAGAGCCCGTGGAACCATGGGCCGGCGCAGCTGCGACGACGGGGCCAGCTGCGCAGCGAAGGTGATGACGCGCAGAAGACGGAGCATGAGGATGTCAAGCAGCAGCCCGCGGCCGCGGCCCGCAGACGACAAGCGCAACGACGGCAGCAGACGAAAGATCGGAGAGACGAACCTTTGCGCGAGCCGGTCGTCGCGGGGGAACGAAAGAGGCTCGCGCGGCTTCGCTGCAGCCAGAACGTTCTTACTTCCACCGGACAGGCCCGAAAGAAGCGCTGCATCTTCGCGGCCTCGCGGCAAGGCAGGGCGCGCGCGTGGGCGAGTGGAAAAGGGCCTTGCAGTTTGAACCGCGCGATCGGGGAATGGGCGCAGACTCAGTCAATCGGGGGCCCGCGCCCGACCTCGATGGCCAGATCCAGCGCGTCAAGCGAGCGCCGAGGCGAAGGGCCGCACCGCGGCGGGGGGTCTGCGCAGAGGCCCTCACCCAGCTCCTGTCGCCGCGGCGCCGCGCCGCGCGCGCGGGGGGGCTTCTGGGGACCTTTTGGGGCGTCTTGGGGCCTCTTTGGCCGTCTTGAAACCATGTTGGGCCCTCTTGGAACGCTCTTGGGCCGTCTTCGGGCCTTCTTGGACCTCTCCAGCGCCGTCTTGGAATTTGCTTGGGGCTTCTCGGGCAGACTAGGGGGCGCTCTTGGGCGCTCGCGGGGCTGGCCTGGGCCGTCTTTGGCCAGGCATGCCCGCGTGCCCCTGGCCCCCAGGCGCCCGCCGCAGCCTGGCCGCGTTTGCCGCTGCCGCCTTGCTATGATAGGATGCGCCTCTTCGTGGTTCGCTCATGGGCGGTTTCAACAATTTGAGGTTACCACTGTTGGCATGCGGCGCTGGCACGCTGGGCTGCTTGCTCAGCCCCGCGCTATGCCATGCTTTGCGCGCGTGGCGCGCTTGCCTCTGGCACCTGGCGCGACGAGGTACAAGTCGATTGCCTTCCCGGCGGCGTCGCCCCGAGGGCGGTTGCTATCCGCCGCCTGGCGCACCTGGCACATTGCAGCTCTGCCTTCAGTCCCCGGCGCTGCCCGTCGGCGGCAGATGCGGCGGCCGCTAGTTTGCGCGCTAAGGTAATTCGTTTCGGCCCGTAGCCTGGGCTGACATCGGACGCCGCCCGCGCTTTCGCTTGCGGCCGCGAGGGGACATATCCCCGCCAACCCACGTGGAACCGATTCCCGGGCGAGTTGGGGCGATCAGGGAAACGCGGGGGCAAACGGGAGGACGGCCGAACCCTGCGAAGGAGCGAGGAGGAGAAGGAGGAGGCTGGATGGATGGACGAGGGAGTGGAGAGAAGGGGGACGAGGAGGAGGAGGACGACGACGACGAGGAAGAAGAGGAGGAAGAGAAGGAGCAGGAGGAGGAAGGAGGAAGAGGGGGAGGAGGAGGAGGAGGAGGGCAAGCAAAAAGGCCTGAGGTCTCTTGGATGCCTCTCGAAGCCTGTTGGGATATCTCTTGGGCGCTTGTTGGTGGCCTCTTGGGACGTTTTTGGTGTCTTTTGGCGGTCCTGGGGGGCCACTGGGCGCCTGGGGTGCCTCGGGGGGCCTCTCGGGGCCGCTCGGGGTCCTCTCCGGGGCTTTCTGGGGGCCTCTTGGGGGCCTCTTTGGGCCATCTTACGTCAGAGACGCCACCAGAGGGCGTGGCAGTTAGCCGGGCGCCAGAGACCTGATAGCGCGGCCGTTAGCCACTTCGGTGCCAGCGCCCACTTCCTGGCATCACGTTCAGCGTTTCCCCTCCCTCCCTATCTTCTTTGTCCTATTGACAGCGCGGCCGTTCGCCACTTGCGCTTCCCGGCGTCGCACCTCCCCCGCCCCTCCTGCTCCGCCGACCGGCGACGGCCCCGGCGCTGCGCCTGGCTTCGCCCCCCGCCCTTGGGGATCAGGCTCCATGGCGCTGTTAATACATGGCGCGATGCCCTCTGCTGGGGCGGGGCGCAGCGTGCCATCACGCAGCCCCGGCCGTCTGCTGTAGCTGTTTTTGCGAGTCAAGCTCACCCCCGGGAATGCAGGTGGCCCGAGAGGGATCCCCTCGGAAGCCTCGAGGGCCCTGCGGTTTCATTCCTCACTCTTTCTCTTTGTTTTTATGCGTCCCCGCCGCCGCTGTTCATTCTCGAATAGGGCCCTTGGCCTTAGAGCTACGCAGTTTGATCGGGCAGCGCTCGCGCGACGCAGATTGCCGCGCCGCGCGCGCCATCCATATCGCAGCGGTAGCTTGGGGCGGGTCTCGGCTGCCTGGCGCTGCGCGCCATCCATATAGCCGCGACGAAGCCGTTGCGCGCCGCGGAATCGACGCCCAGCGGCGCCCGAGCCCTCATCTTGAGCCCCGCGCTCAACCTCGCCAGCGTCAGTGACGCAAGCACCTACCTGTGCGAGTACTCGCCCAGCGACGTCAATTTCAGCATCTACAAGCTCATCGATAGCGTTAGCGACGCTGCCAACATCACAGAGAACGTCTGCGACGTCAATTTCATCATCTCATTGATAGCGCCAGCGACGCCGTCTATATCTCAGAGAACGTCTGCGAGCTCATTGGTAGCGTCAGCGACGCCGTGCATCTTTCAGAGAACGTCTGCGAGCTCATTGATAGCGCCAGCGACGCCGTCCATATCTCAGAGAACGTCTGCGAGCTCATAGCGGCTCAGCGTCAGCGACGCCGTTTGCATTTCAGAGAACGTCTGCGCCTGCAATTTCAGCACATACGAGTTCCTTGATAGAGTCAGCGACGCCGTCTACAACTTAGAGAACGTCTGCGAGTTCAATTTCAGCATGTACACATTCGGTTTCACGGTTTTCACAAGGGCTGACAGTCACAATTGCAACAGTAGCAACCAGGTCATCCCGACCTGGAACGGCGACCCTGCCAAGTGGCGCGACTTCAAGCAGAAAGTGAAGCTCTGGAAGCTCAGCGAGAATTTGGAGGTGACGCAGAGCCTCGCGTCCAAGCTGGCGCGTCGCCTCACGGGCGCGGCCCGCTCGGCCGCGCGCAACATGCCCGAGAGATTGATACCCGCCTGCCGACGACGCGATTGAGGATGCCAGCGAGAAACGGCGCGACCGCAGCCTCAAGGGCGCCAACAACGCGCCGATTCACCTCGAGGCCCACTTGGGCCAGCAGAAGCCCGCGCAGAAGGGCGAAGCGCTCGAGAAGTTTTTCGAGGCTACACAGCATCACCGTCGCCGTGGAGAGCGCACGACGGATTGGCCCGTGCGCTTCGAGGCTGGGTTGCAGCCATTACGAGAACGAGATGGACCTCAACGCGCTCGACGACGTGGCGGGATGGTTCGTGCCCCGAAAGGCCAGGTTGGCGGCCGAGCGTCGCGGGCGCGCCGTGGGCAAATCGCCCGGCGAGCATTACTCCTACCAGCGCATCCGCGGCTTGCTGGCGCGCGTGTTCCCAGACCTCCACGCGCCCGAGAGGCGCGCTAGCGTTCCCGCGCGTTCGTGGGCTGCGCCATCTACGCGATCCAGTCGCAGCCGGCATCGACCACCACCTGTTCGGGCCCGTTCCACTAACATTGTGGAGGAGCCCGAGCACGACGACGAGCCAGAAGGCGAGGAGGACGACAACAACGCCGAGGTCGACGCGCAAGACATCGTCCGACAGGAGCTGGCAGCCTTCAGCGCCGAGCTGGAGTCGTCCAACGTGGAGATCGCCGAGCTGCTCGACGGCGACAACTCCGCGAAGGTGGAGGCTGCCGCGGCTGATCTGGTTGGAATCCCCGAGGCCATGGCCACCATTATTAGGTCAGCCCGGGGCGCCCTCGAGGGCCATGGGGAGGCATTCCAGCGAAGGCGCCCGCCTGCCAAGAACCTGCAGAGCCGCGTCGACCAGCGCAAGACATCGTCTCAGCGCTGGGACTGCGGCGAGAAGGGCCACGGGACTGGCGACAAGGAGTGCCCTGCGCCAGGAGCCCGCAAGTTCGCGCCTTCCAAGGGCAAGCCCAAGGGCGGGGGGCGCGGTGAGCGGTCCCACCGCCAGGCGAACATTGCCGAACACGCTGAGTTCGGGGGCGAGGAGGTTGCTCTACATCCCGAGGGGCCACTTACTCCACCGCCCGAGACCCTGGTCTCCGAGCGCGCGATTCCAGACTTGCCCGTGATTAACACCACCAACAACGGCATGAGCCCGAACGACGACGGCATCGGCGCCATGGACACCGCCTGCCTGTTTTGCGCCGCTGGACCACCGCTACGAGGACAAGCATATCAAAATTGGCCTCGGCGACCAGATCCTGGAGGAGCCCGAGGACGAGGTCTATCCCTGTGGGAACGGTGGCGCGCCCCCCAGGAAGCAGCGCATCACTGCACCACTCGTGCTTTGCGGCCGCGCGGGGCGCATTGTCTTCACCGTCGTGGACAGCCCCGCTCTCGGGCTGCTCATCGGCCGCGATTTCATCCAGCCCTCCAAGATTGATATATCGCTGCGGAAGAGCCAGATACGCATCGGCAACATCACCCAGAAGCTTGTTACCAGCAGTTCGGGACATCCCGCAATACAGCTCCAGCCTGGACTGGAATGCCATGGCGGGCACGGGCCGCAGCTTCAGCTCGAAGACCGCGCCCCGACACGTACGCCAAGACGGACCAGTTGCCAACGGTCAATAATACCACAAAGGATACTCCACGCTTCAGGAGCGCATCGCGATGCTAATCCCGAAGAAGGAGATCGACGTACCTCGGCGCCTCCAGGCAAGGCGTCCGAAAGAGTCACGACTCATGGCCGCCGTGGCATCTGCGCGGGCCTGCTGCTCTACAGCAGCGACGCCCCCTGCCGCGTCGACCACAACGCGGACTGCCTACATCACCGAGCCCACGAACGACTGCGTCGCCTGCGGGGGCACACCGCGCGAGGTTTGCCTACATGTAGGGTTGTTTCCGGAGTGCGTGTTCGGTACCTCAGTCCCGCTCAGCATCGAGGAGACCAAGGCGAAGGAGGTCAACATCGTGGATGAGGAGCAGCTCAAGGTCCGCACTCTCGAGAAGGGGACGAAGCCGCTGCTCGCCGCGGGCAGACGCACTGCCATCGTCACCAACGAGAGCGGCATCATCTGGAATGTAGCCAACCAAGCCCCCAAGACAGCAAG